TGCTGAATGATGAACAGAATCGCAATGTCAAATGGCCTTCTGCATCTCGATCAATATTGGCACACACAAGAGAGAAAATAACATTCAGTATTTTGGATTACATGGTGAAAAAGAGACAAGTTCTGCATCCAATAGTAATACCTGTGAAGCTGGAGGCAAGGCATCAATTCTTTCTTGGCCTCTCTCCTGAGCATCCTGGCCAGCCGGATCCAGCGGACCCCCCATGCCATCGTCCTTGTGGGCGTCCACCCCATTTCGACTACCGTGCTGGTCATCTGTTTGCAATCTCTTTGCAGCCGTTTCTTCACCTGTATCGCGTCCGCGATGCGAGCTGAGATTGTCCACAATCTCTTGCTGAAGCATGTCGGGGAGTTCCTTGAGAATGCCAATATCGACCTGACTGATTGACATGCCTTCAACTGAAGGATGTGTTTTCCTCTCAAGCTCCGCTGCCGCACCAATTGTGTGTTCCTTCTCGGCCATCGTACGCTCGTGTGCTGCTGAAGATCGCGATCCTGTGGTGCGTGAGCGATCGTACTCTTGTTCGATTTCAGCGATCAAATCAGGAGGGAGATCTGCGAGAACAGACTTATCCAGCTGTGAAATGGGAGGAAGCCAAGAGCTACCCCTTCCTGCACTCGCGGGCGTCACCACTCCTCCATCCTGCTGCACAGCGGGAGCCTGCCAACTGCCATCATCGTGTGTCTCTCTTCGAAAACCACTAGTACCACCTGCTTCCGCTTCTCGTGTGCAATCTCCTGTGAAGTGCCTGGGAGAACAGCTCTGAGTGGCTCGATCGAGATGCTGCGCCCTTTGTTCCTCGACAGCTGCTTTGCCAGAATGAGTATTACGCTTCACTGCTTCATCAACACAACTGCGATAAGGTTTGTCGCCCTCTCTTCTCTCTTCATCCCTTGGCATGACCTCTGTTTGCGCTTCTTTCTGGTCTATTTCCTGTTGCATCTGCGCGCCTCGCGAAAGTTGTGGCTCCCCTGAAATGATGCTAAGATCCTCTAAGCCTTTTGGGCGCATCAAATTACCTGCTTGGGGAATGACCATGGGATATCCAGTCCTTTCTTGCTGATTCCCAGCAGCACCGGGAAGACTCTCAGGTGCTTTTGCATGCACCCTCCATGCTCCCACCCTCTGTTCGGAATCCGGCTCATTTTCTTCTCTGCAGCTATGATTGCCGACTTTCTCTCCTAAGCAGTCAGTGACATCCTCCTCCATCGCCGTCCTACGGTTCCCCTTTAACGATTTGCCTTTGCCAGCGACCATGTCTTCTGCTCTCGACTCCCCGCCTGCTCCAGCCTCATCGGTATATTGTACTTGAGCAAGATTTTCAAGTGGCCTTGCATGTGCCCTGATATTTCCCATCCTGCATGCAGAATCTTCACCCTCTGGATAGCGGTGATCGCTGCTTTTCAGCCCTGGACGGTTGTTCCCAATGGCATGCTCCTCTGTGATGGTTGTGCATTCCTCCTTCAGCACTTCTGCTTCATCCATCACCATCTCTTCCATTCCATAACCCATGGCCTCATTGATAGATTGTACTTGATGTGCAGAATCCTCCCTTGGCTGTTTCGTATTACATCCGAGGCTTCCTCCACCTTGTACCTGCAAACAATCATCCTGTGCATTGACGATACTCCCTCCCAATGCCATCGAATCTGCGTTAGACAGTTCATTAAATCTACCACTTCCCATGCTCAGATGCTCAACCCCTCTGCTTAGGGTGGTCCATTTCTCTGGCAGGGTCACACAATTCACCCCCTCACGCATTCCTGACTCACTCTTTGCCTTTGTCGCATCTGTCGACGTTAGCGATTTCTCATCTTCTCTTCGCTTCATTGTGAAGAAGTCTTGAACCGTGCGCAGTGGAGGCTTGGATGGTTCATGAGCTTCAAGGTGTTTGGCGGCTCCGGCATCCTTGAAATCTTTTGAAGGAACGGGAGACTCCTCACTCGTGAACTGCAGTCCTTCCGCTGCTAAACAATTACAAAACCAACCAATCTGTGCTCAGAGAATATAAATATCAAAAAGGGACATTTGTATACATACCAACCCAGACAATCTTTTTCGACATTGTGATACAATGCTACGAAGTTACGATCTCCTACAAAATATGACCCAGGAATCCAAACAAGTGAGCTAGAAGTGCTCGAGGACAACCAGAGAAATATCCACCTGCTCAACTGCCAATGCCTGCCATTAAAAACTCTGAAACGAGCAGCCATGGCAATGTCAATTCCCCTCCTGATTCTCCTGCTGTTGCTGTTGCTGTTGCTGCTGCTGCTGCTGCTGCTGGCGCTCCAGCTGTTCTTCTCCTCAAGCTAGCACAAGGTCAAGTTTTGACTCTTCAAAACACTTTTTCACATACCCTCCTCCCCACAAAGCTGTGAGGACACTGAGGAGTTTAAACTGTTCAGTCTTTGCAAACTGTTTGGAAAACCCGCCTTACAGTAATTGTTCAAACTACCACTCACCCTGACACTTCCCTCAG